AATTATATCTATAAAGACTCTTTTTCCAAATGAGGTCACATTCACAGGCTTGAGGTGGACGTATCTTTTTACTTGTGGGTAGGAATCATCAATCATTCCACTAAAAGGAGATTTACATAGTCTCAGATTACTTTCCCATAAAATATTTACCAATTACAAAAGGACAAAAATTAATTTGCAGTGGAGAAATCTGGCAGACACCACTTTCATGAAGTCATCTAAGGTAACAGGACTTTGAACGGAACATACTGAAATTGTATGTTGCTTGCAATGAGAAGATCATAGTGAACATTTCTGATATTCTTGTCCAAAATGTGTAACCTGAATACAACTATGAGGAAACATGAAACAAATACAAATTGAGAGATATTCTTTTTTTTTTTGAGCAGTTTTTACTATAGGGCGCATGCATTCGCCACCAAGACAGAGACAGAAAGTGAGAAATTACCCCCCAGGGGCACGGCCACGCCACGATCTCTTCTCCTCCATTCTCCTCTTGGGATCTTGGGCACACGCACATGCGCCCGGTGTGAGTTTAGGCCACCGAGTCTGGAACTCGAACCATGATTGACTATGTGGGAGTCCAGTGACATAACCATTATGCCAACTGCTGGTCCCAAGAGATATTCTTTTTTTTTAAATAATTATTTTATTTAACTTTATTTTTTAATTTTAATTTGACCAGAGAGAGAGACAGAGCCAGCAAGAGAGAGAGGTAAAGTGAGAAAGCAAGCTGCCAGGCCTGAGACTTGAACCATGGTTCACCATATGAGAGTCCAGCGCCCTTAACCATCATGCTACCTGTTGGCTCCCTGAGAGATACTCTTGAAATGACTGGCCTAGTGCTCCTCAAAAGCATCAAGAAAACACTAAACAATTATTTCATATTCTAAGAGACTAAAGGGACATAAGTAAATATAACAGATTCTGGATTTTACCCTTCATTACATATATATTGTGAGGATAATTGAACTCTGGGGAATATGGATTAGATAGTACAGTTATCAGTGTTAACTTCTTGATTTTGGTAACCTAGGAGGATCTCCTTGTTTGTAGAAGTTAGGTAGTATGAATATCTGGGAGTGGAATCAGCAGTTAGTGTAATGGTGATGTCACTGAACTCCCATGTACTCAACCGTGGTTCGAGTCCCTGACCTAGTGGCTTAAACTTACCTCGGGCACGTGTGCGTGCGTACCCAAGATCCCGAGAGGAGAATGGAGGAGAAGGGATTGCAGTTTGAAAAAAAGAAAGAAAAAAAGTATCTGGGAGTGATAGGGTATCTTCTTGTGTTTACTCACTATTGGCTTCGGAAGAAGAGTTTTTGAATTATTCTTGCATAAAAGAAAAGGCAAAGCTTACGAAATAGATCTCAGAAAGATCAGAAACCCAGGCACCTCCAGGTGTCCCCTGTAAATAACATTGAAGCAGGGTTCTGCTGCAGGATGTGTACCAGGTAACATGGCTGTATTTATTTGTTTCTGTAAAGAAAATAAACAGGAAACAACTGTGTTTGGAATCACCATTTGGTTATGATAATCCACTGTCATCTTCCAAGAGCTACCAGACTTTTGCATTGGTCAAACCATAAAATAGAATACATAGGATCACCATTCCTGATGCTTTTTTCATGTTTTAGTGGTGGCATCGACTTTGTGATCCTCTGAGGGATGTGATAATGTTTATAATTTACTATTTTGAAGGAGATTATCATAGTTAGAGTGCTCCAGTCTTAGTCTTTTCTGCCAAAATAGACTTCCTAACCTGCCAGTTAAGAGCTGAGAAGGGAAGCTGCTGGTTGCTGCAGTTATTCAGAGACTACACTAGCTATGAGGCAGGTTTGGGGTGTAAATAGAGCTGAGTTTGCCACACAGGTGTGCACTACATTTAATATAATAAATAATGGATGAAGTTAAAGGAAGACAGCTTTTTCCTTCGTGTTTATTATAAACTCAAAACATTTCTCAAAGCTCAGTTATTTGGTTAAGCAATGCATACCTTTTGATGATTGTTGAAAAGTGTTTTCAGATTGCTTTTCTGGAGCCTTTTACATCTTCATACTGCTTTGGAATTAGAAGAACTTCTAGTGTACTACATATTCTACATGTGCTCTAGAGTTGTCCTATTTAGGTTCAAATCCCAGCTTTATTTTATTTAACTTTATTTATTTATTTAATTTGATCAGAGAGGGACAGAGTACTGCGAGATGGAGAAGGAAAGTGATAAAGCAAGCTGCCAGGTCTGAGGACTTGAACCATGGTCGATCATGTGGGAGTCCAACGTCCTTAATCACCATGCCACCTGCCAGCCCCTCACGTTGCATTTTTGCATAGAAAAACATAGTTGAGACCAGCAGTTAGCGTGATGGCTATGTCGCTGGACTCCCATGTAGTTGACTGCGGTTTGAGTCCTGGACCCGGTGGCTTAAAGTCACATCGGGTGCGTGTGCATGCATGCCCAAGATCCTGAGAGGAGAATGGAGGAGAAGGGATTGCGGTGTGGCCATCCCCTCTGGCGAACTGAAATTCGTGTCACAGATCAGCGGCTTGCTTTCTCACTCTCCCTCTCTTTTCCTCTCTCTGGTCAAATTGAGTAATAATAATAATTACAATTAAATAAATCTTTTTTAAAATAATGAATATTAAAATGTAAAGTAGAAAATGAGGAATACTATAATTATGATAACATTGAAAATATATCAGTTCTTCAGAATATAAGTTCAGTGTTTTGTTTTTGATTTGTCATAGGGCCTGTGCACTCGCCAGAGGGAAACAGAAAGGGAGAAATCACCCCCTGGCGTGGATGGCCACACTGCAGTGCTTTCTCCATTCTTTCTGGATTTGAGGCATACATACACACATACCTGGTGTAATTTTCAAGCCACCAAGTCTGGGACTCAAACTGCCATTGGCATTGTGAGAATCCAGCACCTTAACCACCATGCCACCTGCTGGCCCCAAGAGAGTTTTTTTTGTTTTTAAATCTTTTTTAGAGTGAGCACCAGAGGGAAGGAAGCAGGCTTTTTTGTTTATTTGTTTGTTTTTAAGAGAGATTTTTCCTTTAAGGTGCATGTGTTCACCAGAGAAATAGAGAAAGAAAGAGAGAAAAATCAACCCCAGAGGGGATGGCCACACAGCACTCCCTTCTCCTCCATTCTCCTCTTAGGACTTCAGGGACACACACATGCACCTGGTGTGAGTTCAAGCCGTTGGATGCAGGACTCAGTAGTCGACCATGTGTGAGTCTAGCGCCTTACCACTATGCCACCTGCTGTCCCCAGAAGTAGGCAGTTTTATTATTATCTATTATTTTATCTCTTCATTAGTGAGAGGGGGAGAGAAACAGCACCTCCAAAAGGGTCCCAGTGCTACAGTCCTCTCCAGGCTCAGCCTGCCCTGACTCATACCTACTAGCCAATGCACCCAGGAAGGTATCTGTACATAAACCAGAAACCCTCCCTTGTATGTCAGCCTTGCCAAGTATCGTGTTTCTCTGATGTACCACCATCCAGCCCCTGGAGTTAGGTTTTTATTTTTCTTTTCCTCTTGATTTTGCCATTAGACACATGTGCCTTCTGGAGAGAGAAAGAAGGAAAGTGAGAAGGCAGCCTTCTCAGGGAATGATTATGCTGTAATTTCTTCTCCATTTTTCCTTTTGGGATTTTGGGATTTGGGGCTTATATGCTCACATGCCTCACATGGGTTTTTCAAGCTTCTGGGACTGTGACTTGATCTGTGCTGCTGCCTTAACCTTCATAGGCTAGTCCGAGATGACCATTTCTTTTTTTAGAGGTTTTTGCCTCAGGGTGCATGTGCTCACTGGGGAGACAGAGGGAAAGTGAGAAATCACCCTCCAAGGATGAATGGTCTTCACACCACCACAGTCCCTTCTCCATTCTCCCAGGGGGGCACACATGCACATACCCCCGACATTTCAAGCCACTGGATCTGGGACTCAAAGTGTAGTCAGCCATGTAGGAGCCCAGCGACGTAACTGCCATGCCATCTGCTGGCCCCGAGATGAGGTTTTTTTTTTTTTAGAGATTTTTGCCCAGCATGTTTTGAGCTGGCAGGTCCAGGACTCGAGCCACAGTTGACTATGTGGGCACACATGCTCACGCACCCAGCATGTTTTAAACTGGCAGGTCTGGGACTCGAACCATGGTCGATTATGTGGGAGTCCAGCACTGTAACCATTACACCATCTGCTGGTCCCGAGATGAGCATTTTTGACCGGGTCTCTTCCTGTATTGATTCTCTAAGTATAGAACCTGTACACAGAGAGTGCTCAATAAATGTTATTTGTTGTGGTATGAATATTCAAAATAGTTCTTTCAAAAACGAATCAAGTAACTTCCAGAAAACCTCTTCTGAGATTAATAAACAAAAGCTTAAGTGACTGGCTAAATTGTATCAAACTCTTAACACATCCTTGCCTCTTAGTTAGGACTGAGAGTTATATGGAATAAGAAAGTCTATCCTTGGGACCAGCAGTTGGCGTAATGACTGTGTTGCTGGACTCCCATGTAGTCAACCGTGGTTCGAGTCACAACCGTGGCTTAAACTCAAACTGGGCGTGTGTGCGTGCATGCCCAAGATCCCGAGAGGAGTATGGAAGAGGAGGGAGTGCAGTGTGGCCATTCCCCTTGGGGGGTGATTTCTCACTTTCTGTCTCTCTGTCTCTTTCTGGCGAGTGCACACGCCCTATAGCTAAAACCTCTCAAAGAAAAAAGAAAGCCTATCCTGTAATATATTTGTTTTAGGATTGATTTCACAGTTGTACAGTACTGTGATTATATTATTTGTAAAATTAGCTTATTAATGTATTAATTAACATAAAACTTCTTGAGTAGTTTTCAAAATATTTTTTAAAAATATTTTCCTGTACTAATTCAAATGCTAGCTTACTAATTCAGGATATATTTGTTACTATTTGTATTCTGACAGTACATTGATGTATATACCTGGAAGAGTAATATAAAATGTTTTATTTCTTTTTACAGCAGAATGGCCAAAGACTATGACAGGTCTTCCCAGCACATCAGGGACAACTGCCAGTGTGGTCATCATACGGGGCATGAAGATGTATGTAGCTCATGTGGGTGACTCAGGTGTGGTTCTTGGAATTCAAGATGACCCAAAGGATGATTTTGTCAGAGCTGTGGAGGTGACACAGGACCATAAGCCAGAACTTCCCAAGGAAAGAGAACGCATCGAAGGACTTGGTGGGAGGTAATCATCCTGTCATTTTGTTTTTCCTCTCCGGTTTTATTTAGTCTTTTTGTACTTTACTAACCAAATTGACCTACTTCTCCCTTTTAGTGAAGTTTCTTTCTTAATATTATTTTCATTTTTTAAAAATAATTATTTTATTTAACTTTATTTATTATTATTATCATTATTATTTTCCAGTTTGATCAGAGAGAGACAGAGAGAGAGAGAGGAAGTAAGAAAGCAAGCCACCAGGTCTGAGACCCGAACCATGGTCGGCCATGTGGGTGTCCAGCGCTTTTAACCACTGTGCCAATTGCCAGCCCCGTTATTTTCATTTATTACTAAAAACTTTGCTATAGGCCTGTGCGCTCTCTGGAATGAGAGAGGGGGAGAGAAGCAAAATGGGAAATCACCCCTCAGAGGGGTGATCACACCTCCACCTTCTTCTCAGAGTTTTGGGCATATAGGAACCAGCAGTTAGCGTAATGGCTATGTCGCTGGACTCCCATGTAGTCGACCACAGTTTGCGTCCCAAACCCAGTGGCTTAAAACTCACATCGAGCGCATGTGCGTGCGTGCCCAAGATCCCAAGAGGAGAACGGAGAAGGGATTGTGGCATGGCCATCCCCTCTGGGAGGTGATTTCTCGCCTTCTGACTCTCTGGCAAGCACATGCGCCCTATAGCAAAAACCTCTCCAAAAAAAAATTTTTTTTTTTTTGGCATATACACACAGGCATGCCAGCACGTTTTTCAAGCTGCCAGTTCTGGAAGTCATACTGCACAGTCGGCCATGTGGAATCCAGCACCTTAACCACCATGCCACCCGGCTGGCCTGTTACTGATGGGTCAGTTTGCTTGATGCTGTGCCAGTATACATTCATATTTATCTTATTACTTTACTGACTTATTTTTAAACAAGTTTTTCCATGGGGTGCATGCGCTCACTAGAGGGAAAGACAGTGAGAGGGAAAGTAAGAAATCACTCCCCCTCCCCCCCAGGGGAATGGTGACACCACAGTCCCTTTTCCTTCATTCTTCTCCTGGGATCTTGGGTGCACACCCACACTTGCCCGACATGATTTTCAAGCCTCTGGGTCCTGGACTTAAACCGCATTCAGCCATGTGGGAGTCTAGCAATGTAACTATTACACCATCTACTGGCCCCATGACTTTTATTTCTGATAATGGCCCCAAAGAAAAATATTTCAGTGGGCCTCAAGTAATAGTACATACAAGTGGTTTTATTGAAGCCTGTTCTTATAAATTCTGATCAGCATGACATTCAGAATCTTGACAGGGCAAAGTTCTATAGTAGAACAGTTTAAAACTGGTTTCAAGAAAAGAGTTTAGTTAGAATTAACTTTTAGTTTTTTTCTCTGATTTCAGATTTCTTGAAAAACTTTCCACTTATTTTATTTTGTTTCCCTTTAGTGACTCAAAGTATATGTAGTTTTTAAATTAGGACTGAAATTGATTTCAGCATAGTATTTTCATAATCTAAAATAAATGATTCTAAATATCAGGAAAGTGACTAAGATAAAAAATTTTTAAATTACACCAAACTTTTTAAAAATTTTTATTTATTATTATTCTTATTATTTTATTTGACCAGAATGAGAGACAGAAAGAAAAAGAGAGAGTGAGAAAGCAGGCTGTCAGGTCTAGGACCTGAACCATGGTTGGCCACATGGGAGTCTAGCACTTTATCTACCTTGATAATTTTTCAGAGAAATAGAAAACTGAGAGAAAGAATTAACATTTTTTTAAAGATCTAATTTTTTTAAAGAATTATTTTATTTTATTTATCCATTCATTTATTTTAATTTGACTAGAAAGAGACACAGAGAGGGGGAAGGGGAAAGTGAGAAAGCAAGCCACCAGGTTTGGGACTCAAACCATGATTGGCCAGGTGGGAGTATCTGCGCCTTAACCATCAGGCCACCTGCTGGCCCCAAGAATTAACATCTTTAAAACAGATGAAATTTAGGGGCCAGCAGTTGGTGTAATGGCTATGTCGCTGGGCTCCCATGTAGTCGACCGTGGTTCGAGTCCTGGACCCGGTGGCTTAAACTCATGCCGGGCACGTGTGCGTGTGTGCCCGAGATCCCAAGAGGAGAATGGAGGAGAAGGGATTGCGATGTGGCCATCTCCCCTGGGGGGTGATTTCTCGCTTTCTGTCTCTCTATCTCTCTCTGTCTGGCGAGCACACACACCCTGTAGCAAAAACCCCTCAAAAAAAAAAAAAGATGAAATTTAGTAAGTCAGGAAAGAATGTACTAAAACAACTCCACCCCTGGATAGGTAAGTCAAGGGGGAAGTCAGAACAACAACTTATAAAAGTGGAAAAGAATAATGATCACTTGAAAAAAATATTAACATTGTTGAAATGAAACTTATTTCTTGCTATTGGATTAGTATAGATTTAAAAAAGAGATTTTCGTGCCAGCTTGTGTTGGTTAAGGGAGCTGGATCCCACATGGCTAACCATCCTGTTCAAATCTTAGACCTGGCAGCTCAAAGACTCATTGAGTGCATGTGCATGATTGCCCAAAAGTCTCAGAGGAGGAGAAATGGGAGGAGAAGGGGTCACAGTGTGACCATGCCCCATTGCAGAATGTTTTCTCTCTTTTCTAGTTCTCTCTGGCAAATGCACATGCCCTCTAGCAAATGAAAAAAAAATAGAGATTATGTTCAAATTTTTGTTGAAATGGGTACCGTGTTGTCAGGGTTGAATTGGTTATGACCTATGTAGAAAATAATATATACCATGTATTTGTTGACTCAGGAATTTCAGGAATCCGCTCTAAAGTAATCTGAAATGTCGACAAAATACTTAAACATAATTTTTAAAAATTTTATTCATTCATCATTTATTTTAATTTGTCCAGAGAGAGAGAGAGAAAAGCAAGTGAGAAAGCAAGCCAACAGGTCCGGGACTCGAACCATGGTTGGCCATGTGGGAGTCTAGTGCCGTAACCTCCATACCACCTGCCAGCCCCATATGAACAGAATTACTGATTGTAGCACTATTTGATGACAGTTAAAGGCTGGAAGTAACTCAAAACACCCAATAGTTGGAAAATAGCTAAGTATCTTTAGTACATATTCATAACATTGAATATCCATTATAATAGTGTTTATAATTAATTTTTTTAAAAAATGGTTTTCTGAGAATTGACAAACATAAGTAAAGGTAGAGAGAGTTATGGGAATTTTTAATGATTTAAGAATATGTTTACTAGAGGTACTAGCAGATGGTGTAATAGCTACATCACTGGAGTCCCATGCAGTTGACCAAGGTTCAAGTCCTGGACCTGGTGACTTAAACTCACACCGATTGCGTGTGCATGTGTGCCCAAGATCCCAAGAGGAGAATGGAGGAGAAGGGATTGTGGCGTGGCCATCCCCCCTGGGGTGCGATTTCTTACTTTCTGTCTCTGTCTCTGTCTTTCTGGCGATCACACACCCCCTATAGCAAAAACCTCTCTAAAAAAAAAAAGAAGAGAAAAAGTGTTTTTTAGAAACCAAAAAAGCAGGATATACAATATTATTTGTAGTGTTAGTTATGCAGAGACATGGGAACAGGATGGAAACATACAAATGTTACCATCTGAGTGATGAGATTTTATATAGATACATGAACTGAACTCTTCCCTTTTTAAATTTTTTATTTATTTGCTAAGAATTACTTACTTAATTTTATTTATTATTATTTTTAAATTTGCCATTGGGCATGTGTGTGTGTGTGTGTTAGAGAGAGCGAGCGAGCGAGAGCAAGCAAGTGTGCGCAAGCTGCCAGGTCTGGGATTCAAACCATTGTTTGCCATGTGGGAGTCCAGTGCCTTAACCACCATGCCATGTGCCGGCCCCTATTTTTTTCTTTTTTTAATAGGCTGCATTTGCTACCCTGAGAGAGACACAGAGAGAGAAAGAGAGAGAGAGAGAGAGAAATCATTCTCCATGGCCCATGGATACACATGCATATGTACCCAGCATAATTTTCAAGCCGCTGGGTCTGGGACTAAAACTGCTCATTTGGCCATGAATTACCCAGCTGCCTTAACCTCCATACCACCTGCTGGCCCAACTCTTCTTTTTTTTAAAAATGTAAATATTATTTATTTAATGTTATTGATTATTATTGTTATTTATTATTATTTATTATTCATTATTATTATTTTTAAAATTTGACCAAAGAGAGAAAGTTAGGGAAAGTGAGAAAGCAAGTTAATCAGGTCTGGGACATGAACAAGGGTTGACCATGTGGGAGTCCAGTGCCTCAACCACCACACCACCTCCTGGACCCCACTCTTCCTTTTTTTAAATGGTAACATTCGTTTGGTTAAAATTTATGTACCATAAGACAGAGACAAAGAGACAGAAAGCGATAAATCATCCTCCAGGGATGATTTCTTGTTTTCTGTCTCTATTTCTCTCTCTCTGTTGAGCGCATGTGCCCCATAGCAAAAATCTCTCTCTCAAAATAAAAAAGCACTAATACTTATTATACAATGACCTTCGAATGGTACCGCACCTGGATAGGACAGACTTTGAATTTGCAGTTTCCAGCAATGTTAAATGAACTTGCTTTCAGGCTATAGAGCATTTGGTCTCATGAATATGGAGGTCATTTTATACCTGATTCCTGCATTAGTAGTCCTGCAAAGTGGGCTTTGCCATTTAAAACTAGAATGTCCACGTATTGGGTTGTCAGAAAAGTCACGACTCACTTTTTTCCACGTTTTCCTATGAAAAAATGCGTCATGACTTTTCCAACCACCCAATATATTGGGGTCTCTTTATGGGCCATTCCTCTCTTCCCCACCTGTTGATTTGTAAGTACCGTAAGTGTTATCTATCTATATTATTATTATTATTTTGGAGAGGTTTTCGCTATAGGGCATGTGCGCTTGCCAGACAGAGAGAGACAGACAGAAAGCGAGAAATCACCTCCCAGGGAGGGATGGCCACGCCGCAATCCCTTCTCCTCCATTCTCCTCTTGGGATCTTGGGCACG